CAGCAACAAGGAGATCTTTCTCCGTGAACTCATCAGCAATTCTTCCGATGTAAGTCTCCGACGGTTGAATTTTTCTTTTTCATTCTGTATTACTCCGATCTTCTAGTATACTGTAGTTTTATTGCTTTTTGTTATTTTGAAATTTGATTATATTAGAGCGATCTGAGCTTTTTTTTATTGTCTTCATAGATAGCTTAATGTGATCTATTTGATTTTGAAGTTTGATTATTAAGAAGCAGCATGAGTTTTTTTCGAGGTTTTTGTATGTATTTTCTTCGTGTACAGCTTAACGTGATCTTCTAGGCTACTGTAGTGCCATTGCTCTCCATGATTTTGAAGTAATGATTATTTTAGAGAAGTTTAGTTTCTATTTGGAGGTTATTCTTATATGTATTGTGGTTGTGGATAGCTGATCTTCTAGGATATATTGTAGTGCTATGGCTCTCTTTGATTGTGAATTGTGATTATATTAGAGCAGCTAATTTTAATTTTTTTTGAGGTTTTTAATGTGTATTATATTCATGGATAGCTTGATGTGATTGTCTGGGATACTGCAGTTCCATAGCGCTGTCTTTTTTATTCTGAAACTGGATCATTCAGAGCTTTGTTCTGTTTTGTCATCTTAAAACTTGGCTGAGAGGAGTGAGTCTTGTCATGTATCTCCAAGGGTAATGTAAAATTTTGCCTGGTTTGTGTTTTGTGTCTTTCTAGATCCCTAGTCTGAACGTAGGTATCATCATAGTGTTATTATATGGTTTTGTTGATGATATACCATTGTGCCATCACCCTATGTGGCTTCGAAAAATAATTTGAGTAATTTAGAGCAGTCATATCATAACAGTTCATATATCAGACAATCTTTGCATGTTTTGTTGCCCATTTGAAAGCACCTGATTCGGCGTTCTGCTTTGTCATCATAAAACTTAGCTGATAAGAGTAGGCTCTATGTAGTTTTCTATTGGTCCTATTTTTTATTAGACTAGGTAATGCAAACATTTGCTTGGTTTGTGTCTTCTAAAGTTTATTTTAGATGTTATCTAAATGTTATATATACTATGGAGATGTTATCATGGTGTTAGTGTATGATTTTGTATACAATTGATTGAGTTTAATTAATTAAGTTGGCATATGAGGTTTAGTAATAAATACCCGCTTGTATTTGTGTTATAATTTTTTGTTGAAGAATCTTGTGATTAATTCAGCTTCTTAATACAGGGATTTGAATTTTGTTTGCCCGATCAGCTTTTTAAATTAATATGTTACTTGTTGAGGGCTTCTGTTCTGTTATCTCTATCCCATTGTATCATAGGATATAAAATGTTTGTTCTTATTAGTTATTTGGTGGTTAATTGTATGCCATATCTGATATTTCTTTGTATTTTGGGATTATACTTTTAGGCTCTAGACAAGATCCGTTTTGAGAGTTTAACCGACAAGAGCAAGCTAGATGCTCAACCAGAGCTCTTCATCCATATTATCCCAGACAAGACCAACAATACTCTCACTATCATTGATAGTGGTATTGGTATGACAAAAGCTGGTAAGTAGTAGGAACATATTGGAAGCTAGATGCTCAACCAGAGTTTCATCCATATTATCTGTTCTTAATGTTGCATTTCTATTTGCTGATCTTCTTTGTTTTATTTGCAGATCTGGTGAATAACCTGGGTACAATTGCAAGGTCAGGAACCAAAGAGTTCATGGAAGCTATTGCAGCTGGTGCTGATGTTAGCATGATTGGTCAATTTGGTGTTGGTTTCTACTCTGCTTACTTGGTAGCTGAGAAGGTTATTGTGACCACAAAGCACAATGATGATGAACAGTATGTCTGGGAGTCTCAAGCCGGTGGCTCTTTCACTGTTACCAGGGATACATCTGGTGAGAACCTTGGCAGGGGTACCAAAATGGTCCTTTATCTCAAGGAGGATCAGCTTGAATACCTTGAAGAACGTAGGCTCAAGGACCTTATTAAGAAGCACTCTGAGTTCATTAGCTACCCTATCTCTCTTTGGGTTGAGAAGACCATAGAGAAGGAAATTTCTGATGATGAGGAGGAAGAGGAGAAGAAAGATGAGGAGGGAAAGGTAGAGGAGGTCGATGAGGATAAGGAGAAGGAGGAGAAGAAAAAGAAGAAGGTTAAGGAAGTTTCTAATGAGTGGTCACTGGTGAACAAGCAGAAGCCCATTTGGATGAGGAAGCCAGAAGAGATCACAAAGGAAGAGTATGCTGCTTTCTACAAGAGCTTGACTAATGATTGGGAAGAGCATCTTGCTGTGAAGCACTTCTCTGTTGAGGGCCAGTTGGAGTTCAAGGCTGTCCTTTTTGTTCCAAAAAGGGCTCCTTTTGACCTCTTTGACACAAAGAAGAAGCCCAACAATATCAAGCTGTATGTTCGCCGTGTGTTTATCATGGATAACTGTGAGGAGTTGATTCCTGAATATTTGAGCTTTGTGAAGGGTATTGTGGATTCTGAGGACCTTCCTCTCAACATCTCCAGAGAGACATTGCAGCAGAACAAGATCCTAAAGGTTATTCGCAAGAATTTGGTGAAGAAGTGTGTTGAGCTTTTCTTTGAAATTGCTGAGAACAAGGAGGACTACAATAAGTTCTATGAGGCCTTCTCTAAAAACCTCAAGCTTGGAATCCATGAGGATTCTCAGAACAGGTCAAAGTTTGCTGAACTGCTGAGGTACCATTCCACGAAGAGTGGTGATGAGATGACCAGCTTGAAGGACTATGTAACCAGAATGAAGGAGGGCCAGAATGATATTTACTACATTACTGGTGAGAGCAAGAAGGCTGTTGAGAACTCTCCCTTCCTGGAGAAACTGAAGAAGAAGGGATATGAGGTACTTTACATGGTTGATGCCATTGATGAGTACTCAATTGGTCAGCTGAAGGAATTTGAGGGCAAAAAGCTTGTTTCTGCTACCAAGGAAGGCCTCAAGCTTGATGAGAGTGAAGATGAGAAGAAAAAGCAGGAAGAATTGAAGGAAAAGTTCGAGGGACTGTGTAAGGTGATGAAGGATGTGCTAGGAGACAAAGTTGAAAAGGTTATTGTTTCTGACCGTGTTGTGGACTCTCCCTGCTGTTTGGTGACTGGTGAGTATGGGTGGACCGCTAACATGGAGAGAATCATGAAGGCACAGGCACTTAGGGACTCTAGCATGGCTGGATACATGTCTAGCAAGAAGACCATGGAGATCAACCCAGAGAACTCCATCATGGATGAGCTGAGGAAGAGGGCTGATGCAGACAAGAATGACAAGTCTGTGAAGGACTTGGTTCTCTTGCTTTTTGAGACCGCCCTTCTAACCTCAGGTTTCAGCCTTGAGGAGCCAAACACCTTTGGCAACAGAATTCACAGGATGCTGAAACTCGGTTTGAGCATTGATGAGGAAAGCGGAGATGTTGATGCCGACATGCCAGCATTGGAGGATCCTGAAGCTGACGCTGAGGGCAGCAAGATGGAGGAGGTCGATTAAGTTCATTATTATTAATGTTTTGATAGTTTATGGGTTCCCTTCCTACTTATTCTCTAGTTTTTGCTTTATCCCATCAGAACAATATGTGATAGGGTTTTAATGCCATTCTTTTAGAATGGCAGTTCTATGTTAGGTTATAATTCTCTTTTTGTTTTGACATTCGTGGTTAATATTAGTTCCTTTTCTTGCTCAACTTATGTTTTCTGTGAAATGTTTTACTTGATCCCCTACTAATCCTGGACCAAATAATTAGTTTGGTACCCAATATCACATGACGGGCAAGTTGTTTCATTTTGCTAACTTGGTGAAGAGTTTGTAACGCATTTTGGTTATAGTGAATGGAAGAACAAAAATGATTCAACTGCCATTCACGAGAGGGTAATCTTCTGAATGGAATAACTTTTTAAGCCGTCACAAATATTCACCATTTTTTTAGTAAAATATCAGTTCTAGTGCCTCAGGGTGTGTCAATGAAGTTGATTATTTTTTAAAAATTATACGATTGCAATTTTTTGGGTATTTTATAATATATGATCAAAATTAGGTTTCTTAACACTATGATTGGTTTCTCTTCGAAATTAGTACGGTTTGATTAATTTATTTTTAAAATCTCACCTCAGAATATACTACTGATAATATAATTTCTTTCACAGATGTGTTCTTGAAGAAACACTTTAATTTTTAAAGACAAGAATGTATAATCTTGTTGCTGTATTAAATATTTAATAGGAATGTTTGGATATGTTTTGTTGTATTGTTTGATAGAGAGTATATATTATAATATCTTTTAATTTTAAACCTAATTAAGTAGACACTAATTAAAGAGCAAAGACCCAAAGTCGTTTAGTTACCAGAGGCATTAGACAGACTTAAAGTTATATTTATGTTTGAAAAATGCTAGAAAATATATTTATATATTAAATTTAACATATTGATAATATATAAAATATATTTACATAACGTTTTTCGGTTCAAAATTTTTTCACAAATTAAAAAAACCATCCCAATTATTCGAAACAATTATACACTTGAATAAAAGTCCACGATTTTATTGAAAAATAGCATAAATTGGTTTGGTTGTTTTCATGACGGTTGGTAAGTGCAACATAGATTTTCTTTTCTACTTTAACATTCAACTAGTTAAGATTCAAATACATGTACGCTTATCACACATCGCATCAATGTTAAGACCCTCAAGCCACCCATTTGGCTTTGAGCCAGATAATCACACTGCAATTTCCTGCTTGTGGTTTGAATAGTATTATTATAATCAAGACGATGTCTTGTTTGGTTCTAAATGCAACATTATGGTGTGTACCAAGAATCACTCAATAGAAACTCGACATCAATTCATAGAAATAAATCACAAAACAACTATTCAAAAAAGAATAATAAACACCATGAAGATGTCGAATTTAACATGGAGAAAATGGAAAGAGCAAACATAATGTTATATGTTCATGGAATCAGCCCAACTACGATTCCCAGAAAACAAAAGAAGAAAAGTAATATATATTAGGTGTCCTCAACTCTTGAATGAAAGACAAAGCTTGGAAACGTTGTAGTAATGTCCCTGTTTAGAGGAGGAAGATATTTTAGCAAATGAATTAATACTAGGAAAAAACAATAACTACCTAAACATGTTTAATATTTCATGTGTCACTTACTTGAGATATTGGAGGGTCATATTCTTCAAAAGTGAAGGATGTCGCAACACTAAGTTTCTCCATTCCTCCTTATCAATCTTTCCGTCATGCTTCGTATCGGCTTCTTCAAAAGTCTGATAAAACAAGGAGACATAGTTAATCATAAAAAGGTTCCATGACAATACTTTTATCTATATGAGGAGAATGGGTCGGGAAGATGAAATGTGAGCACGAGTTTGTCCCAATGCATTTGCAGACATGTAAGTAACTAAATATAGAAAACAAAAGTCAAATAAGTGAGCAATCTTGTAATTTCAGCATCGAGCTTGCACGACAATTAAATGCATCTGGTTCCTTAATTTCACACAAAATTAGACTCAAAGCCCAAAACGTTCCAAAGGATAGCAGTGATGATAAGACAACAAATTCTGAGCAGCAGCACCAGATCAATAAAATAAGAAAAAATGCGATAAGATTATGGTACCCTCGGGGGATTGAAAACGTAGACTTTCCCTTAGGTCTAAGATAAATTCCAAGCCATCATAAACTTAGCAACATAGATAGATAGTCAGAAGACTAAAAGGTGAATCACTATTGTTATGTATGACTTATACAACATGCAGAAACAAGTACTTTTTAGGTTGATGAAGCACCTTGTCAATTATGCTCTCTATCACATCGTCAGAGAGGTTCATACCAGACTCCGCAAGAGTAGCCACCACCATTTGCTTTACCTGCACTCAAAAGCCACGTCTTTTATCTTATCAAAAAGCACACAAACAAGTAATGTTAGTTAATAAAGCTCAAAAAGAGACATCAATGAGGTTTCATAATTAGAGCAACTAAAACCGGGACATAATAAAGTAGGACAATAGATTATGAAACATTCAACATATTGTGGCGACCAGTACTTGAGAAGGCTAAAATGTTAGATAAAGGCTATGCTTTAATGAGTAAACTACTAACGGAATAGTTGTCGGAAGTTTTAGAAAAAACAGAAAAATGGTAATAGAGAAGTAAATCAGATTGAATGTGGAGTGTTGAAAAAAAAAAGAACGGGGGCAGAGGTAACCAAATTATCCCATATTAATCTGAAATATAGCACAAAAAGGACTAGAAATTTGACTCGCCCAATGCAAGACCTAGAAGATGCCTGTAAAAAGGAACATTCATCAGACTAAAAGCCCTAAACGCAAACCCCTTGGTGGAGCTTTGCCCACCTGGACACAGACCGTTTAATGTCTTTTGCCTTGCCTCAAGAGGCCATTCAACTACTTTAACAAAGACTTTCAAGATTGGGGACATTTGATCGCTTTCACTTAGTGAGGTTTATAATTACCTCTTGTCTCTCAATAAAACCTTGTTGCTTGAGATCATATAGCTGAAAAGAAACTGCAATAGTAGTAAACCATTAGAAGCAGTCGAGACCAACTAAAGTTAATAGTCATGACTCATTAATGCAAACATAAAACGTACACTCAATCTTGTCATCGATAGGTGCATTTGGATGGAAAACAGAGAGAGCACGAGCAAATTCCTCGAATCCCAAGATTCCGTTGTGTTTTGTGTCAAACAAGTCAAACACCTACAATTAGATAGGTCAGAGTGGGGGAAATAAAGATGATTCCATCTGATGTGTCTTCTCAACCTTCCAGACCAATAATAGAAATGTTAAAAATGACAAGGTTCCTGGAATTTAGGTGATAAACTAGAAGGTAAGCACATTTTGTAGGGAGAGAAAAAATAAAAAGAAAATAAATGCAATAACAACACATAAAACTAGCATAACCTGCAAAATTTACTCAAAATTCAAAATCCACATGTCCTAAAGACATTCCTGAATATTTGAAATCACATTTGGACCATATTAATATAAGACGTTCATGAAATCACAATTGAACTTGAACTGTCTTAAACTATGAAAGAATTCCAACTCCACTTGCCTTAATAAAATATCCCTAAGTCAATCCAAATACGCCGTCAAATACTTATCCATATTCATGGAATTCCAATTGTCATCCATTAGCTCCACCAATTTTGTCCAAAAAATTGGACAAGCAAATTTAGCAGCCTTTACAGTGACATCTTTAATTTTATTGTAAAATCACAGAGTTGCTTCATCTTGAACTAGTTTGTAGGAAAAATGAGTAAAATATCTTTAATACAATTGTTCACGCATGATCTCGTAATACAAATAACGTACTTCTTATATGTTCAACTCAAAGCAATTTCTCTCACATTCAAGTGAACTATAAGTAAGCTTATAACTTCTTTATTATATCAAAATAATGTTTGGATCAACTTGTGCGTACCTCAACTATTCCATTGAGTACCATGTTACATTCCATCACCACCACCATAGGTACCAAGTAACTCTATCCAAAACTTTTGCAAATGAAGAGCAGAAGAGCTATACTACGACCAATGGCGTAGCCAGAAATTTTATCGAGGGCGTCCAAATTTTAGAAAGTCAATGAAAAGAATCAATGAATGAGTTCACAAAAAATTTAAGTCCACCTACGCAATATTTAGCTAAATCATTTAAAAAATTATAATAGCGCTACAATTTTATTATTAAAGCTAACATAAGAAGTTAACAAAAAAAATTCTACTATAAACACCTTATCCAATACATCATCACAATTTTTTTCATTATTTTTTAAAATCATAGACTCACAAGTAATAATATAAAAAACTTTTCTTTCTATATATGAGACACTTTTAAAAATCATCACTACTTCAATTTTGTAAACTTATGATGGCACATGGCAGTAGACACAAAGGGACGGATGGAGACAGACTAGCAATTGTCGAAGAGTAGAAAGATAGAAACCTAGAATCAAATGAAAGAGAATCGTGAGAATTTGTAATATATAAAGAACTTTTTGTTAAAGAAAATTTTGTAAATTTGGATTTTTAAACTTTAAGATTTCTTTAGTAATATTTTAATAAAACATATTGTAAAAATTAATTATTTATTTTTACATAATTTCTGAAAGTTATTTCTTAAGAAATTCTTAAATTTTGAAAAGAAAAGTTAAAAATGTGCCCTTATTGAATCAATAAAGGTAGACTCAACTTTCCTTTTTTTAGTTTAAAATAGGTAATGCGCGGATGAAAGTAAAAATGGGATTCGATCCCGTGACTCGGAACTCCAAGCGAGCAGGCTTTACCGCTAGACCGTGCCTCGCAGATTTATCAAGGGTGTCCAAATCAAAAGAATATATTTAATTAAAACAGCGTTTGAGCTATATACATTGTATAATTTTCCGACGAAGGGTGTCCAATTGGACACCTTGAAGACACTGTAGCTCCGCCACTGACTACGACTACCATTGGACATCCAATATTAAAGCATATAAGGTAAAAATAGAATTTTAAAGGATAAAACTGAAATTGATAACCTAGATATATTCATTCCCATGAGACTTTAAAAATTCTTAAACCTCGTTTCCCTCTTGCTTCCTTCGCAAACCTTCAATTATTATACTTTTAAAAGTGAATACTTTTGTAAAACCATGCCAGTTCCCTTTTAAATAATAATTAAAGTTAATCTTGCTGGGCCCTACCAAATCACATTTCTATACCTCATCATATTCGACAGTAATGGAAATTTTTGCGTGCACTTTGACAGCCAGACCAAAAACTTCATTGACGAATGCCATCAAAATCTAATTTATTCTATGCGCTGCATGTGAAGGGAGTACAATAAGCATGGGTGTACTTCCTCCATCATATTCCCTTACTTAAAGAGGATGAGCAACTTAGCTGATCTGTTAGACGAGAACAGCTTCAGCTGTATAGCAATAATAAGATACAGACAATAGATCTAATTTTCGGCGAGTAACGGACTCTTATGAAATTCGATTAAATCGGGATTACATTTAAAGGTCTAATAGCAGTTAAGGAGAACGTACCCGGTCAGCAAACAAGCTTTCCTTTTTATTTGTCTTGAAAAGTGCCAATTGAAACTCTTCCTGCAAGATAAGATACAAACTCAAAATCCAAAAGAACAGCGGAAGATAAATACATATTAAGCATCCATGCCAGGAAGAGACCACATAGATAGTTCTTTTTCAATGACAATGGATTGCTAGAGCTCTGATGCTAGTATACTAGATTGTTCTTAGGAAACCAAGTGAAACAAACCTTGTTGATTAAACCATCATCAATCACTGCACTGCTTATCTTCTTAAAGAGCTCGTAAAGAGCTTCAATCTCGCTGACGCTAACTGCAACGAGAAAGAAGATAATGTAGGCTCAGTTATAGTACTTCTACTAGTGCAAAAACCACGTGACACTAACAACCTATGGGTTATAGAAGTTTCAAATGCTTTACGACAATAACAACATAGCAAATTCTGATTATAGATCAAATTAGTATTCAGACGGTTTTTTGAAAGATACATAGTCTCAAATGTTAGAATATCAATGTATTACAATCTAAACAACTTAATGACCGTAAATTCTGTGAGGATGGGTTATAGTAGTTTCAAATGCTTTACAACAATAACAACATAGCAAATTCTGATTATAGATCAAATTAGTATTGAGACGGTTTTTCGAAAGCTACATAGTCTCAAATGTTAGAATATCAATGTATAACAATCTAACCAACTTAATGACCGTAAATTCTGTGAGGAATTTCCTTTGGAAGGGAATGGTATCAAACATTTTGATACATCCCGATATGGGAAGAACGTCTTATAAATTGGGTCAAAAGGAGCATATGCTATCCGTTTTCATAGAACCGTAATAAGCTTTAAAATGATGGTACAAATCATGGAAATAAAACCATTAAGAAAAGGAAAAAGCTCAGAACCAGTTTGACTTTGCTTTTGTTATTTTCCATAATCATTTTATGTTTCTAGGAAAAAATCACAAAATGTCCAAGTAGCATACAAACTGTCTCTCGTGCAAGTATCTCAGGATCGTCGAGGCCCCCCGATTGCTTAAAATCAAGATCGCAACACCTCGAAAGGTAAGAACCTAAGAACTGCAGCATGGTAACGTCTCAGATTCAAAACACTCCATATCTGTTCAACAAGAATGGCAGAAGACGAAGTCAAAAATCTATTTTAATTGGATCATTTGTATCAAAGAAACGTCTCTCGGACATGAAAAAAGCAAAACTAACCTTTCGACCATTCTCTGTTATGTCTATTTATGAATCCAAAATACTGAAAGTTTCTGAAACCTATCTATATGCAGCTATATATCTGCCATATCAACATGTCAATACACAATTTAGTTCCATAAATATCTACTGAAACTAATAAAAGATGCACTAAAACATGCCATCTAATTCCGTCAACATGGTCAAATCTTTCAACGTAAATCTCATTATTGATTATCCTCTTCTCATGCAGTTTCAATCCCGCCATTTTACCACCATAACTTAACGTATCTCTTCAACCTCACCGATTGCATAATTCGAACAAAAATCAAAAAGTTGCAACTTTTTCTTCTTCTACAACTAATTATACTATAACCCCAGTCCCCCATTCCACAAATTGACTTATAATTCATAGATTTCAGGTTCAACATCAATGTACAAACTTAACAATAACACTAAACCTCAAAGACCACACAACACCAAAAGATCATTCTTTTATTACTAAAAATGAAACGAACAGTCACCTCGAATACAACTCAACAATAACACTAAACCTCAACGACCACACAACACCAAAAGATCATTCTTTTATTAATAAAAATGAAACGAAGTCACCTCGATACAAACTCAACAATAACACTAAACCTCAAAGACCACACAACAGCAAAAGATCATTCTTTTATTAATAAAAATGAAACGAACAGTCACCTCGATGATTAATTCATAAGTGAGAACTTGCTAAAAAACCTTGGCTAATCTGTTCACGCCATTTTCACATTCCTTTCTGCAGGGCGATCGGAATTGAATTCTTTAAAAATTTAATCTTTATATCTAAACTCAAATTTAGCTTTAATTTCGAAATATTACTTATATAAACAACAAAATTATACAAACCCCACATTAAATTACACAAAAACAGACTTGTATATCACATAAAAATTCAATTAGATCAAACAGTTCGATTTGATTAACAAACAGATCTAATAATTACAAAAAATTAACATGAGAATCAAAAATCAAAAAGGGAAACAAAAAAAAAAACTTACGTTTATGAATAAATGGAGATTTAATTTGAGATGATTGCAAATCAGAGATGAATTTTTGAGGCAGGAGAAGAAGGATGCTCCTTAACCTTTTTTTTTTTTTGGTTTTTTGTAATTTGCAATAAGTTGTGTCCTTGTCGGAAACTATAAATTATATTTTATGGGTCTCTGATGGTGCCCCAAATGTCTGATATTAGGCCCACCCATGTTTGCCAGCTGTCAAATGCATACATGTTAATATTTTACAATCTAGTGATATCGGTGAAAGTCTGTTACGTAAATGAAGAATTAATCAATTCATCAAAATTTAATCTATGGATTCGTTTATTACTTGTTGTTTTCTTTGTTTCGATTGTTTTGTCGTTTATTGTTGTTATTGTCCTTGTTTAATCTGTTTTTTCGCTATCGATGAAAGTTTTTGACGTAAATGAGGAATTAATCAATTCATCAAAATTTAATCTATCGATTCTTTTATTACTTGTTGTATTCTTTACTTTCATTGTTTTTTATCATTTACTGTTTTTACTGTCCTTGTTTACTTGGTTTTTTTCACGTGACTTCTTTATTGCAGTATTTTCTTTCAATATTTGATGTTGATACGTAATACTTGAGCTGAGGATCTATTAGAAACAATTTATTTACCTTCATATGATAGTGTGACTATATATCCCCCGTAGACACACATTGACTAATTTAAGGTCTTATTATCCCTCAATTTTTATTTTATTTTTGTAATTTTATTCATCTTTTGGCTTACGTGGCACATTGAGTGACTCCACATAGTTGAGTCGCGAGGGAGATGTTTGGATGCCACTTAAGCCAAAAAAAAGTGAACAAATTACAAAAAATGGGTTCGGGGTAATAAGACTTTAGCTCAATTAAAATGTATTAGTATCTCATATATTTTAATCATAGTCTATGAAATACTTGTGTCTTATTCCTATATATTTAAATATTCTTAATTGGTGTTGGAAGTAAGGAAGAATACAACTGTACCCAATAGTACAAACAAAGAAAATAAAACAAATAAAAGTTAAAAGAAAGAAAAAAGTACAAATGTTAAGATGGGCCCAAGGAGTTTTAATGGAGAAAGCCCATTCGTTTAATGGTCCATAGTAAGGACTAAGGAGGTGGGCCAAAAGTAACTATTAAAGTACTGGTCCAATATTATTTTGTTTATTATATTTTGCAAAAAAGGTCAAATCATTTCATGTCATCAATAAGTAACATATAATATCTAATACAGTATTATTAATAGACGTTTGGCCATGCGATTTCAATCATGATATGAAATTACAAGATTAAATCAACCTTTGAATATGTAATTTTACGCTGATTTCATCTCATTATTTCATATTATAAGATAAAATTACAAATTCTCCAAAAAAAGATTTTTCAAATACAAAAATTAACTCAAGTTTATATGTATTAACCATTTATTTCAGATGTAAATAAAATTTAGCTTTTGGTGTTCTATGATTGACCTCTAAATAATTAGTAGGTAGTTCAATCCTTTTTATTTCAAAACACTGTATATGGATAATATGAACGGCCTAAACAAGAATTCTTAACAACGAACAACCAATTTAGATATTCATGACCAAGAGAAATAGTAAAAAAAATATTTTTTCTTGGATCTTTTGGTGGATAGCGATATCTAAGTCCAATCTACGGTAGAAGAGAAGGTTCCATCAGAAAAAAATTATTTATTTCAGTTAAGGTACAATTCATATAATTATTTTTTAAACCATTTATATCTCATATAACAATTATTATCATCAACATAAAAATTTTATTATTTCAAATCAACTTCTACTTTACTATTTATATTTTCCAAATCCATTATTTATTTAATCAAATTTATTTTCCAACCAGATTTATTACTACTTCATTCAATTAAAAGTTTAGTAAAAATATAATTTCCCATCGTTATATTGACTGGACAAGTTGACTGACCACCGTGACATTAATTGATAAAAAATAATTTTCTTAACTTGATCAATAAATGTTCAATTTTATTTGTTTATTAAATTAAAATTTAATCAATAAATGTTCAATTTGTTTTAATTGATTTAAAATTTGATCAATAAATATTATCTTTTTTTTTAGAATGACTTTGTCATAGTGTACTATGTGATTTTATAAACTTTTGCTTATCCAGTAAGATTGAATAAATAACTCGTTTCTATGTTTACGAGAAAACATACAACATAAAAGTCCTAATTGCATGTCCAAACAAAATTTCAACTTTATCTTACAATTTTATATCATGACTTCATAACATGATTTCATATCGCATGACTAAACATATTCCAATCTTGAGGATAAAACGACTAATAAACAATCACTTTGTTATCAAAAAAAAATTCTTCGTTTAAAATTGTGGTCAATCATATCCCCGTCGTTACAAAATTGAAAATTGGCACATATGTAACTAATCATAAATTCTTCCAAAGCTCACTTCAATAGCAACATACATAGTCACTGGTGAACTATAATTTACAATAACTTTTGCTCACTCTAGTAACTATATGTTACATACAATTTATGTTGACTTTTGACTTAAGAAATTAAAATTAAAAAGAAAAAAAAGAGGAAAATTTGGATGTGGGAGTAAAAAAATAAATGAAGTATAATCACTATCAAAAGCTTAGTTTTTTTTTTATAATCGTGATTTCCGAACGATGATACTTGCTATCTCCCATCAGCATAAGTATATGATAACTCTGTCCATAATTACCTTTCTAATTCTTGTTTACAAAGAGGACAACAAGAAATAATTTTGAGCCATTGATCAACACAATTGAGATGGAATATATGAGAACAAGGCAACTCTCTGATTTCTTCTTTCTCTTTGTACTTGGCCAAACAAATACAACATTCCTGTCATGCCACAAACATACGGTCAAATTTCAGGTATAGTCACTTAACTTTATTTACTATATTTGGAACAGACTAAACAGAAAGTAAGACAAATAAATTGAAACGGAGGAAGCATTTTGTAATTCAATAGATCACTTACATCACAACTTGTAATCTCCTCTTTATTTCCAATTTCTTTGTACTTCCAACTAGGCAAATTGGAGAGTTGTTCATCAGTTGCACCTCTATCTACTGATCCCATATTCATATTGTAGCCAAGAAAATTACTCAAAATTGGCACACAACAACACAACAACACAAATAATATGAAGGGAAAAGAGTATGTGACAGCATTCCAAGCTAGTAGTGATATGCAAAGAACATGAAGTTTAGGAGCATTATGAAATGATCCAAATCTTGAATCAAATACCCAAACATTCCCCATCACAAACCATATAGCAAAGAAGAACTCTATCCATGTCCTACATCTCTCCATCCGAGACGGTAACTCCCTGAAAAAAGAATTTTTACACTATCAGATCACCTGAAAGATAACATGTTTATACTGGTCAGTGTATATAAGTTACCTTGATTCGTCGTGGCTTATTTGCTGCTCAAGATCAGTATCATCTGTTTGGCTCACATATAATGCCCAATATCTCCAATAAAGCAGAATCAAACTAATAACACAACCAAAACCATATCCAAATACCCAAATCCTCATTGGCCAAACAGGCCTTTCCTCTTTTGTAACAACCAATGTATATGTTGTAACAATTATTTGAACAGTCAAAGCTATACACTCCATAATCATCCAAGTCACAGAATTGAAGGGATTTGAGCCAAGTTCTGAACTTGAACCATTTTGGTAATGAAACACTCTTCTCAAGAAACTAAAACATCTTGATCTTGATATTCGAATTGCCATTCTTATCAAGAATGAAGACGAAGACGAAGAAGAAGAAGAAGAAGAAGGGGCTGTTCTTCTTACATCAAGATCCATTCTTTCTGGACCAATAATCCTAGAATTACACAATGAGTCTGTTGTAATAAAGTAACGGCTACTCATGATTCGAAATGATGACACCAGATTTTTGTCAACAGGGAGAAATTTCTAAGAACTTTCAACTTTGTAGTAACATATCATCACTTATATAAGTAATTATACCTTCGAATAAGGCGTGCTAGCTTGCCCTTTTTGGTGATGATTTACTATACTGAGCCCTCTGCTCCACGTATCTAATAAGCTCGTATGGTTCACTATTTATATCAACTAGACCAAAAGAGTGATATAGTCGATACAAATAAAGGTTTTTGCATGCCAAATTTCAAGAATCTCAACAGATAAAAGTTCCCACCTTTTAAGTGATGAAAAGGTATCTACGAGTCCTCTGCCCCACACGTATCTAGCCAGCTCACGATTCACCAAAAGAGTGACTAGCAAACAATTCAACCAATTTCATAAACTCAAGTTTCAATCTTTCAAAATGGTTTTGCTAATAACTTCAAAATTTCAACAAAAAAGATGAAACAGAGGAATCAAGAAAAAGTTGGATCAATCAAAGGGGTTACTACGAGCCCTCTGTCCCACGTATCTAACTAGCTCGTGTGGTTCACCACCACTAACACCAAAAGAGTTGATCAATCAAAGGGGTATCGTATGACTCACAACTACTAACACCAAAAAGAGTGATTCAGTGGTTACAGAGTCATACAACAAAAAAGTTCCCACCTTTTAAGAAATTTAACAAGACAAGAATTCAGAATACAAAACAAGAGAAATGAAAGTGAGAATAAAAAGGGAAAAAAATAAAACAAGAGGAGAAAAATAGGTTAATGGAGTTGAACAAACATGACATAAGGAAGGTAAAGATTGGTTTCAAGATGGTGACCAAGAATCAAACAGACACCATTTTTATTTTTATTTTGCTTTGATTTAAAGTGAATTTTTTAAAGAAGTATAATAACTGTTGGCCTAACTTATTCAGATGATTTTGGCTTTTTTTTTTGTTTATATTTGAGAAGAAGCAAAGTATGAAAGATAAAAGCAAATGTGGGGTTCTTGAAAAATACATTACTCTTATTTTTTGTGATGTTAACTTTGAGTCAATCCAATTTTTTTGATACAAATGTTAAGATAATGTATTATTTTTATTTATTTGTATAAATAAGTAATTAGTTTTTTTGAAAAGTGGCGGGTACAGTAGTTAATCGGTTGCTGAGGATAGCAGTTGGCCACCTAATCAAAAACCAGCAGTACAAGCAACTTTAGTCATTGTATTGTGTAGCATATCCGACGGGAAGTCAGAATTTTAATTTAAAAAAATGGTTTGATATTCTTCGAATTGGTATATCTTTATCATAAAAGTAGTTCGTTATAAAAGTGATTCACAAAAATGACTTATATATGCTCTTTCCATCTAATAATAGTGGAAACATTAATTTTACATTTTAAAAAATTACCCATATTATTATTTATATATACTATATTTTACGTTAAAAATTACAAAATTCAGATGAACGGGATAATTCTATCACCATGACTCTCTTTGCGTCTCCTACCAACTTACCAAGAGAACGTGTGGTTTAATATTAGTGGTCAGCCACTGTCAGGGCTGGTGCCTTTGATTTTGTACAAAATAAAATAATACTATACTTTTGATTAAGACCTTTTGTTTTCATTTACTTAATTTTAAGCTAGATAAGTGCATCAAATTTCAGTAATTTTAGGATAAATTTTATATTTATATTAAAAATTTACTAGTTATGTATAAAAATTAAATTTGAAATTCAGTTAATGACATTTGATATCGCTATCTTGAAATTTTAAGCTCATAAAATTTAAATTTCGACTTTGTCTCTAACTTTAGTCTATCTTTTTGCATTTATATATTTTGGATTTTGAAAAATCTGAAAACTTAAGTTTATCCACTACTCAAATATATTGCTTCTTGCTAGTCCAAGTACATTAAAAATAAATCTTACATATCTTCTTATTTGTTTTTTTTTTTAAGATTTAGTTTTATTCTTATCATTAAGTAATTATTAGAATATTAGTGGTTAAATTTACATTTTCAAACATCATTATATGAGCAACTTAAGAGGAGCGCAAAATTGATATTGGATTAGTAAAATAAAATTAAATAACTGAAGTTGATTAAGTAACTATTTATTTATTAAAAATCATATGAGATTTGAGTTTTTTGAGTTCAAAATTTCAGAAAAATAATTTCAAATGTCAGTAATTAATCAAAAACTAATATTAATGTATATTTAGCAAACTTAATATATATGTATATAAAATTTGAAACTAAAATTATTAAATACGATCGAATTCGTACGAAACAACCAAGACTTCTTGTGTCATTGACATCAATGGAGATGGATTGTCATTGTTACATAACTTCTCCAACTAATAATTGTTACAAAAAAATCTTGAATTGTGGGTCTCTATTTTTAGATATTTTCCCATTTCAATATACTATCATTATTTATCAAATACTTCACTTATCCAACTACGGAGACACACAAATATATGATCATAAAATCATACGAAATTGAAGTCATCCCAAACATAATGCATGACATATTACGATATAAAAAATATATATATTATTAACTTCTAAAAGAAATTTTCCATCCATTTATTAGAAATGTCTAAGTTGTTGCCTCGTAGGCTTAGGATACTTCGCTCCTGATCGACCTCTATTAGTGAACGTATAGTGATTAACGATTTAAAATTCATCTTATTTTATGTCATAATCTACACTTGTATGTTCAAATGGTCACTTGTCATTAGGTTGAATCACTCGATCAAATTTAGTCAATTTATGCGAATGAGTTTATTCTTGATAAATTCGAATCAAAATATATAAACATTACTATATAAGAAGAGTGAATAAACATCCTTTTTTCCGTCGACACGTGGCAAAAAAAAGAAAAAAAAACAGGGTTGAACTGGACCCCATCAAAAAGCTACAAATGAATAAATTGGCTGAATTAAATGGGGGTATTTTTGGTATTTACTAGCTTTTACTCCTTAAAACTTTTGTATGTTAATGCTTTATAATTGTACCTTTTCTTCTTTAGACAAAAAAACCATCCAACATCTCCATAATGACACATATATCCATCAAATCTACTACTCTTTAATTAATTAAAGTGGGCCCCACTACCTTTCTCATGGCGGCTGACCAATAGTTGTGTTTTTCTTTATTTTAAATTATCATGTGTCACCATTTTTCCTTGATTACATATTTTAAAAATAAAAAATAAAGTAGTATATATAAATAATTAACAATTTAGTATGCTTAAAAATAGTAGAAACTACATAAAAAGTACTACATATTATATTACAATAATTAACAATTCATTGACACTTTAAATTCTATCAATGCTATATAAATGAAGATAAAAAAGGCAATATATAATATTTAAATATATTTAAAAATAATATAAGTAATACTATACTTAATATGCTTAAAAATAGTAAAAACTACATAAAAAGTCCTACATATTATATTACAATAATTAACAATTATTTCACACTTAAATTCTATCAATGCCGTATAAATTAGAATAAAAAAGGTAACATATAATATTTAAATATATTTTAAAAAAATATAAGTAATACTATACATTACAATAATTAACGGCTTAAATATTTCAAAGTTATATAAAAAATTTAATTGACTCTCTAAATTCTATTGGTACCACATAAAATGGATTATCTGATAAACATATTTCGTTTGAAATTGACGAAAAAGAAACTATAAATTACAATAATTAAAAAAAAAAATAGTTGACTCCAAAAAATCTATCAATTAACAACATATATTGTTTGAAATTGACAAAAAAGAAACTATAAATTACAATAATTAAACAAAAATTCGCTCGACTCCAACAAATCTATCAATTAATGCCACATAAATTGGGACATGGGAAATAACATATATTATTTCAAAATTAAGTTCAAAATGTACTATAAAATACAATAATTAACAACTTAATATATTAAAGAGACATATAAAAAAGGGTTAATATTTGAAATTCTGCATGTGCCACATAAATTAGAACAAAGAGAGTAATAACTATTATTTTCAAAATTATGTTAAAAAAAAGTACTACAAATCACAATAGCTAACAATTTAAAATATTATTAAAATCATATAAAAATTTCAATAACTTCTCAAATTCCATAATATGACATAAATTAAAATAAATACAAAATATATATTGGGCCCCGTGCTGGCACGGGGTCCTATATCTAGTATGGATAGGAATGTCGATTAGATATAATTGGATTGGAATTTTTTTAAAAAAAAATTTAAAAAGTTGATTGAATAATGCATGATGTGGACCCCACGTGTTATAAATAGTGAAATATTTGGCGGCGCTTATTATTTATCCCCAAGCGCATTGGCGGTGCGTCCTCCCCAAACAATCCGGTGTGAATCGGGTCGAACCAAAACCCGAACCTCCCAACTCCGATCATCTCTCCGATTCCGCCGGCGATTTCCATCACTCGTTAAGGTAATTGAAAATCCCATTTTCGAATTTCGAAATTAGGGTTAGAAATGAATTTTTGTTTTCTAGGGTTCTTAGTGATTATTTTAACCTAATTTGATTGTTTGTTTGTTGATGTTTACATTCATGAAAGAAAATTTGGATTTCTGAGAGAAGTTACTTTTTATCACAGAGAATTTTGAAGTATGACAACTGCTGCTAGACCTACATGGGCACCAGCTAAAGGAGGGAATGAACAAGGTGGAACTAGAATTTTTGGTCCATCTCAGAAGTATTCTTCAAGAGACATTGCAGCTCACACTACTTTAAAGCCCAGGCAAGTAATTTGAAATATTGCTTCTTTTTTATTACTACTTCCGTGTTTCAATCTGTTTGTATGATTTTTGACTTAACACGTAGTTTATTGAGTCTAAAGATGGGATTTTTGTGGCTCAACTTACCTGGATCCAACCTGCATTTCTTCTCGGTTATTGAGTCTGTCGAGTTATGATCTTATTTTGCATTCAGGTGAAGTGAAGTGGCTTATGCTCATTTTTTTTTGGAAAGGTAAATAGAAGTGAAGTGGATTATGTTAAAGCACAACTAAGCCCAATTAGAAGGTTATGTTGAATATAATTGAAGCTTATAATGATAATATGGTCAG